GTAAATACTGACCTTAGAATTTGATTTTTTTAATTTTGTCGCATCTAGCTGATTAGAAAAAGTCATTAACTTTTGTTCGCGCTTCTCATGCATCCTGTTCATTGCATTACTATGATGTCTCAAGCTTAGTCTTGGTTTGACCTCGTTTCCACAAATTTGCTGGGGCAACAGGGACACCTTGTGGAACCTATTTAGTCCGGCATCCTTTGCCATATTATTAATGATTTTCAGCATCAGATCGTTGACTTGCTACATTCGCAGACGTTTCTCTGGCATCCTCGGTGAGAGGCGCCTTCGTTAGAACAAAGTTACAATTTTTCAAAGTGACTCGTCATCTGTCCGCGGCGATCCTTTTTGTTGGTTGCCAGAGCGACCATTTCACAAATATCTTCTAATTGGAAAGTCATGCCACAATATACATGCAAATAATTTGCATTTATATGGACGCGGAATCAGCTTCTTTATGATAATATACATTTTTTAGCGTTTGTCCCAATCAAATAAGCATTCGAATCTGAGCTTTAAGTTCTCTACAAACCTTATGCATAACCCCTGAGTTTGAGTGAATTTCATTTCGGTTCAACTTCGATTGCTCCTTACTACCTATTTTGTTAACTTATTTGCATTGGGCTATCTGCCTATCCATTTAGTCACATCTCCAGTTTTGATTCGGTTCACTCAGGACTTCATACTTTTAGCGTGGCACATATTTCATGAAAAAACCTGATATAATTATTCGGGTCTATCAATGAGTTGTTTTCTTGTGCAACTATTTCATGATCAAGTATCTATGTTCCTACACCAAATATATTTATCTATTTTTAGTCAATTATTTCTGCTATTTCTACATTATCGCTTGGTGCATGCATATGTTTCGTGTTTGTTTTGCTCTTTTTGTTTGATATATCGGCACATTTCTAGCATCCTTAGTCTCTCTTGTTAGCTAATTCTGATCCATCCATTTGAATTTACTACAAGCTATTTTTTGCTCAAATTGCGTTAAGAGGTTGCGCGGCTTGTCTCGCCGATTTCTTAACCAGAACTATATGGATAAGAAGTCATATATACATTACAAAAACGCAAACTTTAGTTTTATAATAGGAATACAATGACCTATTTTACTTATATATATGCATGGCATGGCATGGCATACTTTTCTAATTATAAAACGAATTTGCAGTAATTATCGAGCCTCTACTTTCATTTTATTAACAGGAATTTTTTTAAATTGTTTATTATCCATTATATATTTGTTTGTATTACAAGCATCGAGAATTCGTCTTTTTATCTCCCACATTCCAGAAAGAACTCCTTTATCTACAAATATGTCTGAAACAGTCGCTTTAGACTACGTCGTTTCGGTTTCACCGCAAGCCCACACAACTTCTCGCTTTCTCTCGCATCTCGATCACCTTCAGCGTAGACGACGGCGGAGACGCAGCTGCGACAGTGATGGCAAGAAAGAGAACAGTCGCTCAGGTCTGCGCTGCATAAAACGCCATCGTTCCAGATATTCTATCAAAACCTTTTCACCAGATCTTGTTGCTGCCGATCTTGCCTTAAGCAGTTGCGAAGAGCATGAGAAGCCCCTGCAACGGTTACTTAAAACACAGCAGGTATCAATAGGCAAGCCTGAGCTCCTAGGTCTTTCTGATACAAAGTTTAAGACGAATCTGCATAAGGTCAATGCAGAGAACGAGCAAGACC